CCCACTTTCCTGCGAATAAGCAGTCTAATTAGTGTGAATGCGCCGAGCTTGATAAGATCACCGCTATACCTAGACGTCCAATCGCAGAAGAAGTGATAAGAGCAAATCAGATGGTATCAACAGTCAATGACTGAAAGCTCATCAATCAATCAACTTCGCTGAAATGTTGCTTTACTTCAGTGAACGAAATAGGGAATTATCGATCACATTACAACATACACACATTGATTCCTACACCGATGTCAAAGAAATGCGAATCGGCTATGAAACTTTCTTGTCAGTCATTTACCAAAATACGATACACCTGACTAACCGTAAGGATGGTAAAGTTCCCGTTGCACATATCATGATCACAAAAGCATATGATCATAGAATATTTAGACTGGTACCAGCAAGTGCCACCCTCTGCCTGTAATCAGGAAATTACATTGAGTTCTAATTTCCTAGAGTAATTGTAATGATCCTACAAGTTTTTGTATTCTGTGCGTGGCATATTTTTCTTTTGTGAAATTGCACGCAGGTCTTGCCTCGTATGTACAAGCTTCCTGGTTCTGCAAAGTGAAATTGGCAACATAACGCCAAATACTACATAACTTGGTGAGTAAGGCTTACTCTTACTGCAGCTATAGTATAATATGCATCGCCGCCCCAGTAACATTGAAGACCATTCACGTAACATGAGAACGTTAATAGAGTTGTCACCATCAAATCTGAAATTGCGTAACAGTACAGTCGCAGGTAATGCAGTGTGAGGGAGTGAGTGCTTTCAAACTTCACCGACGTGCATGGTTTCCACCGCCCAACCAACCAACCAACCGATGGTTTTGCTGGCCACGTACTGACAATGCAGGACAGATTGCGTTTAGGGCAGCGCCAGTCATGAAAGGATTTCGTGATCCACAGGTGCCCTTTGTTGTCAACACGTGGCCAGCAACGTCGTCGCGGCTGGTCCGTCGGTCGGTCGGCAGAAACAATGCACGTTGAAGTCTGAAAGCATCCAATCGCAACAATTCGGTAGCAAATCACCTCTGCGGTGCTGACAGAATGGCCAGAGCCCACTCACCCCTGTGCAACGTTATGCATCTCATTGTAAAAAAAA